ACGATGGATTGCTACAGTGACTATAGCAATGGGCTCAAGCATATCTCAGATTGTGGGGATGGCATAGGATAGGGCAAGAGTTAGAGCTCCTTTAAGAACTAGAAATTATACCTAAATGCATAGATGTACAACCCTACTGATAGGCAAGAAACAAGAATGGAACAAAGACCGGTAGTGTTAAGGACCATACGTTATTATGTAAAGACAGAGTGCATAGAGTAAGTGTGACAGACTAAATGGGTGAGAGAAGGGAAAAAGAGACAGAATAGTGAGAGACTAGAGTATGATGCCAGCTAAATAATCACCAGATGCTGTACCAAAGCATATAATGCAAATATATTCTATAGGAATATTTAAAAAACTTGTAGTCAACATTTATCTGCCAGCAAACCTGTGGATAAAGATTATATTAGGACTAGCGACATCTGCTGGATATTTTGGAAATGACCCTACAGGTTCTTACTATGAAAATTCCTCCATGCCCATGGACTGCCCATACTATTAGGTGGTGGTGGGTCCACTGCCATCAAGGTGATTCGGACTGATAGCGACGCATGCAGAGCAGAACTGCTCCCTAAGATTTTGTGAATTATAAGCTTTCTGGAGCCTCACTTGGCCTGTCTTCTCAGGTGCTTCTGGGTAGGTTCCAACTGACAAGATTTGTTGAGTAGCAGAAGGCTTAACTGTTTACGGAAGGGATCCACAGTATTACCACAAGAACATGAAATCACCTTTCTGAAGAGCTCGGGTTCTCACTATAACCAATAGTCAGATTTCTAACAAGTATGTTTCTATCTCCCATCTGACACCCAGCTGCCTTCTTCTGACCAATGTATATATAACCTGACACCAGGTAATTCTTTTCAAACATAACTTTTTTTTATTTTAAATGGTCATAAAGGGAACATGACCTAGGGATTCTACTTCTCAGAAAGTACCTAAGGGGAGAGAGGAAGTCTTAAATGAGGAAATTCATTGTTTACAGCACTGAGGAGTGGGAGGAGGAAACAATTTACAAGTCCAACACAGTAAAATGAGCAGGAAAGTCACATAACAAATGGGAATATAAAATGCTAAGAGCAAAAGAAGAAAAAGACTCACATACAATATGATCTCAAGTATGTAGGAAAAACAATATTAGAAGAAGATATTTTAAAATATCAACAGTGGCTACTTGTAGATAGAACAATTACAGTTTGGTTTTGGGTTTTAATCATTTTTTAATCATTTCCCAAACATTTTTTATCTAAGTCTTTGAAATAATGCATACATTCTGATAAATGGCTAGAAACACTGTCTGCCTGATTTGATCAAATCCAGAAAAAAGAGGATCCAATCTCCACATGAAACAGAAAGCAAGAAAAAGAAGGGAAATATATTACAATTTTGTTTCACAATCTGAGCACCAATGTAGAAATCCCCTAGTTGGAGAAACGTATGGAAATGTCAGTAATGTGATCACACTGCTATCAACAGCACACCCAGCACTTACAGAGGGCTCTGCCGGCAGTAGGGAGTTACACAGTCGCAAAACCACTTGGGTCCCCATCTTCCAAGTCTCCAGCAGAGTCAGATCAGGGCCACCTTAAAAGAAGAAATATTTTAAAACCCAACACAGAAAAAAAGAAAAAAATCACCAAAGCTAAACCACTCTAGGTGGGTCAAGGCCCTCCTCCATACCTATCATCTTGTCATCTCCAAGTATCAGACATCAGGCTCTGGTTAGTAGAAAATCTATCCCAAAATACTATAACCATAATGTGACTATCAATGGCATTTTTAAATCTACTAAGGGAGTGCTGGTGGCCTAGTAGATAAGTTGTGCCACCAACCCAAAGACAGGTGGTTCAAATTCACCAGTTGCTCTGTGGAAAAAAGATGAATAATCTCATGTGCGATTAAACAATCACCTTTAAAAACCCACTGAAGGTTGAGCTATGAATCGGTTCTGATTCACTGGCAATGAAACTGAGTTTTAGGCTTCAGTGGTAATAAAGAAAAAAGGAATCCTTCCCTATCTTTAGTTAAGCGTGGATACATTCCCCACCTCCTTATACTTATCAGTCAAAAACTATAGGAAATATTCAGAAGACAAGAGAAATACTCTGCTTCTGGCATTCACTTTCCTCCATTCTTAGGACTTCATTTGTAACCGAGAAAAGTATCATTTCTATTCGAAGGCAAAAATTTTTACAATGTATTTTGCAGTTTCCAAGATGTTATGACCCATATCATCTCGCTCTGGTGGAATTGTGGTCCGACCCATATCATCTCGCTCTGGTGGAATTGTGCTCCTAATCGGTGTCTCTCTGCATATTACACTCCACCAGTGGCTTAGCAGGAAAAAGATGGGAAATCTCCCTCACAGCTCCTAAAAACCTGCTGGAGATCAGCTATGAGTTGGTTCAAACTTGATGACAATGAGTTGAGTGAGTTATATCGTCTTATTTGATTTAAAAGTAAAGAACCCTTCTTGTTGTTAGGTGACATCAAATTGGAACTGACTCACATCTGTTCCTCCAGTGGGTTTTCACAGGCTGTAAATCACATGAGAGGTGACTGCTCATTTTTCTCGGGAGGGGGTAGTAACTAGTGGATTCTAATTGCCTGCCTTTGGATTGGCAGTAAAACTCCTTACCGCTAAGCCACCAGGACTCCCCAAATATTCCTTGTTATTGTTTATCGTTGAGTCAGAACCAACTCATAGGTGACCCTCCAGCAGTTTTCAGCAGCAGTAAATGACAAGCGAGGAGAGTGGCTATCTTTCTTCCACGGAACATCTGGTGGATTCAAACCACATACCTTTTCATTGACAGCACAATTCCTTACCACTCAGAAGGCACCAGGGAACTCTTGGTGGTGGTGTGTGCTGTTGAGTTGGAACCAACTCAATGCTGACCCTCCAGTGGGTTTTCAGAGGCAGTTAATGAATTGCATGGAAAGTGACTGCCCATCCTACTCCGGAGGAGCAGCTGGTGGATTCCAATAGCACGCCTTTGGGATTGCAGCGCAGTTTCTTACCTCTAGACCACCAGAACTCCCTAGAGAATCCTTGTTGTGTACCATAGAGTCTGAACCAACCCACTGCTAACCCTCTGGCGGGTTTTCAGAGGCAGTTAATCATACAGGAGACTGCCTATACTTAGAGAAAACCAAAATAAAACCAACTAATTGCCTCTATTTCTATCAAGGGAGAGACTCTATATGTCAGTAGAAATGGCCTTTCGGTGTTGTGGTTTGTTGTTGATTTTTTTAGGTTGTAAATATTTACAGAGCAAAGACTGCCTCACCTTTCTCCAGATAAACTGCTGGTGGGTTTGACTGGCTGGCGTGCTTAGCAGCCCAATAGTGTACCCATTACAATACTAGCAGGGCTCCTCCTCTCAGAGATAGAAAAGGTTAACGATATTAGCCCTGTTTATAGAAAACAAGCTTGTGAACTCGTCTACCAATGAGCAATGAATCCACCTGTGCTACATCTGCCTAGAATACAGCCCAGGAAAATAATGATGATGATGGCATTATTACAAAGCTTTAACTACTTACTATGTACCTTTAAACCCCCACATTCACTCTTTGAGGCTGAAAGTAAAATTTCAACCTTTTTTTTGTGTGTTGTAATTCTAGTCATCTTAAGAAATTCACTTCTCTCAGGCACAATGAAGCGGAAAGCAGCGAGGTTTAGGGAGGGCGGTGTATAGGTTGAGAGAGAGAAGTTATCTCGTCTCCGGTTCTCAAAGTCTGAATGAGGAACAGCTACTAAGAATCTCTGACTCGGAGCAAGTTTAGACCCCGAAAATTCCGTAATTGAAGTCTCCTTCCTTCCATCCCTCCCTAGGCCCCTCCTCGCGTCCTCAGTTCTTACTTGAAATCTTGACTGGTTGAGGAAGGCGGGCTAGAGTCTCTCATTTTCTTCCCATTTTTTCTTTTACTTCCCCGCCACCTTTCAGCTCCTACCTCTGAAGTGGGAGGTGAGTCTGATTCAGCATCTCCGTCCGCGGTCCTACTGTGCACCATCTCCTCTGACTCCCACTTCGCCGCTGCGTTCCCGCTGCCATGGTGACACGGAGGCGGGCCCGGGCCTGGCCCGCCTCCAGCCCACCCTTCGCGAGGCTTAACCACGCCCCCTTCCGGGACAGGTCACGCCCCCACTGGTCTAACCGCGCCCCCTGCTGGCTAGAGCCAGGCTCTGCAGGTCGTGGTCCTGCCGCGGCCGGACCGAACCTTGCATACCGCGGAACGAACTCGTCTCCTGCCAACGACGACTTAGCTAGGTTGCGCTACAGCTGTGACCAGTGGTGAAATGTGGGGTCATCATGGACTGGATTCGTGGATGCTCTTGGGCTAAGCAGAACTGTTGTTGCACTTACGTAGCTTTCCCATCCCAAAAAACGCACGAGGCATATTCAATTAATCGATTTATTAATGCTAGCAGCTCCATGCTATAGAGAGCTGAAGGCCACCCAAAAGGAAATTTCTGGGCCCATCATGCTCTCAGTACCAGTGACATGAAGTTCTTACAGCCAGTGGTCAGAAAGTCAGGGCCTCCACGTTTCAGCCCCTGGCACCTTTTGCCAGATCAGATATATAAAGCCTAGACCAGCGTGGAGGCTGCATGCAAAAAGACTCAGGAGGCCTTTCCAGGCGGGCATTTGTTCAGTTTGTGTGTAAAGAAAATATTAATAAATAATGGCCAACAAGATTAGCCCAAGAGCTTATAGGGTAATGTGCAGGATCAAAGGTAGCGATCAAAACCCTTCCTGCTCAAGCCTCCTAATTCCCCTCATTTTGTGGATCTCCATCGCCCCTAGGTAATTGAAATACAGCAGCCTGAGGACGGCAAGTAAGACATTGGCCTAGGGAAGACAGCAAGATTGGAGACCCTCACAATTCCAGAGCCTCTGGGGCTTTAAAACATTGTCACTCAGTTCGTCCACGCAGCAAATTCTCTACTCAGGGCTCGAGATGAAATGATGGTAGCCGGCTCCTGCCCCGCAGGCTCACACAGGGGTCCCGTTCTTGCTGTCATAGCGCCGCCGTGTGGCCTCGGGGAAGCGAAGGACTGCATATTCCGTTGCATTTGCTAATTGCTGATGCTTCACCTCCTGGCTTGAGCGAGACTGGGCCGGGCTGCACACCTGGATGTCTGCATAATGCAAGCTGTTCTCTTCTGACTTGCAACTTTGATGCCTCTTTCGAGACTCAAGCTGCTCTAATACCCGCTCATAGGTGTGTGCTGGTGGTTCAAGGCCCTGTAGGAAAGGACAAATGTTAAGGAAGAATCTTTGATTTTGACCTACATCGCTACTGCAGGGACAGTTAGATGATATCCCTGCACTTTGCCGTTTTAGTGAGTAGAAGCAAGTGGGTAGAGCCAGTAATTCCCACTGATGTCTGTCCTAACGTCTAAAAAGCTCAACACTGAAATCCTAGGTCTGAGCATCCCAGGCCACAGAACTCTCTTTACCTGTGTGCCAGTCTGCTTCTTCTGTATTTTCTGCTGCTTCAATACCCATCTTGCATGGCTCCCTGAAAAAAGGAAAACACAATCAGTCGCCATTGATCATGTATATCAGAGAGAACAGCCCTCCTTAGCATTTCAGTGGCTAGTTCTTCAAAAGTAGATCACCAGGCCTTTCTTCCAAGGCATCTCTGAATTGTCAAACTTTTGGTTCATTGCTTAGTGCTTAACTGTCTGCACCTCCCAGGAATTCCTCTGAGGGAAAAAACCCAATTAAAAACCATTCTTTCTTCTTTGTCTCTGCCAAGAGGGCCACCTTCAAATATCGCTATTAATATTTTATCTCTATATTATTATGGTTGTCTTTTGACTCGTCTCTCTGCTTCCTTTCTCTCCTCTTTCCTCTCCTGCCATTCCCACATACAAATTCCTTAGTTGGATGTTCAATTGGCCCTTTCACAATCTGACTGTGATGGCTTTCGTCCTTTTATGTCCCAGCCCCTAACATAGAAAGTGAAGATATGTAAAGAGTCCATTACATGCCAGGTTCTAGGCAATGGTCTGGGGATAAGAAGATATGGAAGGGATATGCTAGATGATTGGGACCTCATAAAAATGAAAACCTTACATACATCAAAAGACTCCTCTAAAAGAGCAAAAAGAGAACCTACTGAATGGAAATAAATACTTGGAAATGACACGTCTGACCCCTAAGAATTAATGTTTTAAATTTATAGAAAATCCCAACAATTCAACAAGAAAAAAGATGAACTACCCACTTACAAAATTGTCAAAGGCCACGAATACACCCTTCACCAAGGAAGACATTCAGATGACCAACAAACAACAAACACAAGAAGTGCCCAAGATCAGTGTTGTAGTTGTTATGTGCTGTCAAGTCAGCTATGACTTATTGTGACCCTGTGCACAATAGCTCCATACCCTGCTCTATCCTGAGTCAATCCAACTGTCAGTATTTAATAGGACATCAAACAACAAATGCTGGCAAGGGTGCGGATAGATTGGAACTTTCATAAACTGCTGGTGGGAATATACAATGGCACAATCACTATGGAAAGCAGTTTGGCATTTCCTTAGAGAGCTGGGAATAGAAACACCATTGGATCCCGAAGTTCCGCTACTGCATATCTATCCTACAGAAATAAGAACTTCAACAGAAACTGACACATTCAAACAAATATTCACTGCAGCGCTTTTTATAATATCAATGAGTTGGAAACAACCCAAGTGCCCATCGGTGAGTGAATGGTTAAAAGGAACTCTGGTACATTTGCATAATAGAGTGTTATGCATCAGTGAAAATTGATCAAGAATTTGAACACTGCACACCATGGATAAAATTCTAGAATCAATAAATAAAACATAAGTCAGTCACAAAAGGACAAAAATGGTAGGAGACTTTTAACAGCAAAAGCACAGGAAAGGTTTATATATAGACTCAGTCTGGAAGGTAAACAGAAATGAGAGGGGAGAGAGAGAACATTTTGTATATATAGTGATCACCTGTTTGTGATATATCTCCTGGTAATATTATTTTTGTGACATAAATAAACCATTTACTTGTATGTGTATGTATATGTAAATATATGTTTGCATAGTCATTTGAGCATAAGTATTCTGATTTTTTTAAAAAAGTTGAAGCCCTAATTAATGTGACCTTTAAATCTTCTGCAGCTCTGGTGCTGTAGTCAGTAGAGAATTGTGTTGCTGACCCAAAAGTGGTTCAAGTCCACCATTTGTTCCACGGAAGAAGATGAACAATCTCCTCCCTGTACTTTATAACCTCTGAAAACTTACTGGAAGGTCACCTATGGTAGATTTGATGGCAATGAGTTTTGAGTGTTTTTTTCAAACCTCAGGGACTGAGTCTTCAGAAGTATGCTACTAAATTTCCATTAACATGTACGTTTTATTTAATTATAGACGTATCTGTCCCTTGGATCAGTTCTCAAATGAATCAAACCATGCAATAGAGAACAAGATAAAAAAGTATTTTTCACATAACTTCTTTATTGTTACATCAAATAAAAACTGGGAGTTCCAAGATCCCATTCCCTAATCCAGGTAGAACATTTCATTTTTCAATCCCTGAATTCTTTCTTCTGCCACTGTGGACCCTTCGGTCTTAATATCGAAACACGGAATTCTTACAATTAATTCTTAGCTTTTGCTGTGATTCTTCTGCAATTTCAGGTGAGACCCACTATAAAAAAAAACAACAACAAAACTTAAACAGTTGACCAGTTCATGATAAATTGAATAGTTGGATCCAAACTAATTAGAATAAACTGGACAGGAATTTAGTGCTCAATATGTTGTTGTTATGTAGTTTGAGACTCGTAGTGACCCTATGCACAACAGCCCTAAACCCTGCTCTATCCTGCGCCAACCGCACTGCCTCTGACACACCCA